AAATTCTCACTTTTTCATTCCAATCATGCTCACTTCCAAAAAACAATAATTTTCATGAAAATCATCAAAATTCTCATTTCAGTTTAATCACACTCAGATGCAGATAAAATCAATTAAAAATCAACTTAAACCTTGCCACCATCTCAAAAACAGTTTAAAACATGCTTTAAAATCAAAGGGCTTTACCATGATTTACTTACCTCACTCACACAGAACAGAAGGCTAACCCAAGTGCTACAGTGACAGAACGATCAAAACCTAATCACAATATTCCACAATTAATAACCATACCACCACAAATTTACAGTGAAATCATCTTTAGCACTACCCCTAATCACAGTGCTATTTCTATCAATCTCTACATAACCGGACATCTCCAAACTCATTCTTATATCACAAACTAAACCTTTAAATCCTCGCTAATCGTTAACCCTCGGTGTGTGAACAGTGCTTATAAACAGTACCCGTGAACAGTGCTAAAGCCGTGAACAGTACTTCCACTTCCAAAAATTAGCAAAACCATAGCTAATCTCACGGGATTTTTCACACAAAATATCATAGCAATCAATTAACTCTCAATCACATAAATCCCACTTGAATTAAGCTAAATCATGGTCCTAAAGCTACCCGAATTCCTCCCATTTTTCCAGCACAATTCGGACAACATAGGCAGCAATCAATCAACTAGTTTTCAAGAATTAAAGAAGCCAACCTACCAGAAAATTTCAGCAAGCAAGGCTGGAGTTGGCGGGTTTGGGGTGGAGGCCGACGGCATGTACAGAAAATTCGGGGGAAACTCACGGCAGAAAAAGCCGAAGGATTCAAACCCAGCAGAACCCGACGGACAAGGGAGAAGAACAGAGCAGAACCGAGATTTCCAGCAGAGAGGGGGGGGATTTCTGGGTTCAAGAACAAGAAAAAAAAGGAGAAAATCCCAAGCTTTGCCGGTGTTCCGGCCGAAAAATGGGTGGCGGTGGCTGGGAAGCTTCGGTCGGCTGCAGGGGACGGAACAGAGCAGAATCGAGATTTTCTGCAGATGGGGGGAAAGGATTTCTAGGTTCTATGCTTTCTATTTAACAAGAGAAGAAGGAGAATTTTCAAGCTTTTGCCGAGTTTCTCAAGGGGAAACAATCGGCAGCTTGAGGGGGCTTTCGGGAGGAAGAAGATAAGCAGAAGCAGAAATACGCGGCTGATGAGGAAGAAAAGAAAGAAAAAGAAAAAGAAAAAGAAAAAGCAGGTGATCCTTATCCAAATTTCCTTTCTTTTTAGTCCCTCACTTTTAAAAATTTTGCAATTAAGCCCCAAAACAATATTTTTCCTCAAATAAGTCCCCAATTTAATGCTAAAATACCCCAAAATTTTGGGATATTACACCTTTCTTCCGCTTGCAAATAGGAAACGGGCTAGGGGTTGGCAGAAATTCTGTAATGTTGCTGCCCACTTTTGAAGGTGCTGTCGCCCATTTGTGAAAGCATAGAAAGGGGCTTCCGTCCGATAGATTGCCGGATTAGTCGAATTGAGGAAATTTTAGGGTAAGTTTCTCAATTATGTGATGGTTTTGTTCTTAGATCTAATTTTATAATTAAGAATGTGAATTAGAGGAGGAATTGAGAGAATTTTGGAACTCTATTTCATGT